GTCGATGGGGTTCGGTTCGGTTCAGCTTGACTTATCAACGGTTTGGCTTGACTTTGGCCTCAAGTCGGACCAAGCCGGACCGTTGCCAACACTAATCGGGCGCATGATAAAATTTACAAAATTAATTATTGGGTACTTAGTAATAATCAATCATATCGGATGCCCGATATGTTTATTCTTCCCCAATAGGTATCTGATAGGTGTCTGATATTATAAATATATTGGGCACCCGATAGGTACCTGATAAATGTCCGATATTTGAATTTTGACTTGTGACAGATACTAATAATTACTTTAATAAAATTGAAAAGGAACCAATGCTAAAAATAAATTATCAGGCATTTCAAATTGGTTTGAATGGTTATGGCCAATTACTGGAGAAAATATTGGTTGTATTCGTGCAAGAGATATTCCAAACCTTGATATCTGAACAAATTTTCTTCAAAAAGATCTTGAAAAATTACAATTGAAAATAATTGAAAAACCAAACCCAAATTTATCAATACCTTTAATATCCCAAAACACTTGAACAATTCTATTACCAAATGATACAGGTTTCGTTAATTTTTATATTTTATTATAATTTTAGAAAAATAACTAATTCAATATATATTATAGAAATACAAGTAAAAAAATTAAAAAAAGAACATGTAAAAGAACAACATGAAAATTGTGAAATTTTAAAAGAAATAGATATTAATAAAAAAAATTTGATAAAGGAGTTAGAAATAGAATTGGCTAAAGAAATTTTATCAAAATTATCAGGTTGTAAATATTATTTTTGAATTATTATTTTGCATTTTGTAACATTCTATTCTAATTATTTTTTAGATCACAATTATCTTTCGAACCCATCCTCAAGTAATGATTCCTGTTCAAATAAAAATAAAAATTCAATAAAAAATAAAAAAAAATCAATATTAGATCAAAGGTATATTAATAATCAATTAATTAAATATTGGTATATAAACTTACATATTTATTTTGATTTTTTTTTTTAGTGCTCAATTTTTACTTTGGCCTTTGGCTCGTGGATGGACATTAAAATCTGCATAAAAATATGGTAAAAAAGGAGGTGGTAAGTGTATTTCTAAGAAAGTGTGGTATCTTTTACAATAATACTTTTTGGAAGGGAAAATTGATAAAAGTGAAAGGTACACTGTGGAAAATATGTCTTTTCAACTAAAGAAATGTATTGAAAATGGTGTAATTGATAAAGAAGAGATATCAAAACTAGAAACTATATAAAATTGAATCTCTCATTATGTAAGTCAGCATTGTCAAGAAGTAACAATGGTATCTAAAAAATAAAAAAATTAATAAAATTATAGTTGAAATAAAAATAAATATGAAGGAAATAAAAATAATAAATAGAAAATAGAAGAGAATGAAAAATAGAAATAGCTGTAATTTTTTTTTTAGACAAATTTTATAATAAATAATTCCGTTTTAAAAAAAAATTACTTCGTTGAAAATGGTATAATTGATAAAGAAGAGTTATCAAAATCAGAAACTATATAATCTCGTTATGCAAATTAGCATTGTCAAGAGGAAACAATGGTATCTAAAAAATTAAAAAAAAATTAAAAAAATTAATAAAATTGTAGTTGAAATAGAAATAAATATGAAAGAAATAAAAATAATAGATATAAAATAGAAGAGAAATTTGTTGTAGGAATTCAACTTACTATAATGTTTTTTTTATTTGAAAGTTATTAAAAAAATTACTAGAAATGATAGTTTAAATGTTTATTAAAAAAATAAAAAAAATATACACTGATTAAAAATTAGATAATCAACTTTCATATATTTCAAAAAATCAGTTTTTTTAATAGCCTTAAGACAATCAGCAAATTTTTCCCCATTTTTTCATAATAAATTTGTCTGGTTATTATACAAAACACGAATTAAGTTAATTCGTGATCTGTGTGCAGATCAGTGAAAATCATCTGATTTAAATATATATTATGGGGATAATTAAATTATGAATAAAATAATTTTTTAGAATCTCGCGTTTTCTAATGTCAAAATATAAAAAATATTCAATTACATTAGTTTCACCCGGTGTAATAACAGAAAATTTGCATTTCAGAACAAGTTGTCATAATTGGTGAATTTTTCGACCATCGGCTAAAACAGAAAATCTGACTTTATTATATTCTATTCGATTACATATAAAAACCTTAGTTAACCTCAACGAACGTGACTTTATTATAGAAGTTTTTGAAACTACATCTGAATATGGATCAATGCCAAGATATATTTGCAAGTGTGATGGTATTCAAAGTGAACTATGTCAAACACTTACTGTTGCAATTTGTAGTGTATATAAAAGAATTTTTGGAACAGAAACAAAATTTTCAGGACCAGCAGTAATGGGTTTTGATACACCTACTATTTCTAATGTACTACTTCAAGACTTACAATTTCAACCATATTTTTTTTCTTTAGACAAATTACGAATTTGGGTTATGAGCGTAGGAAAATCTAACAAATCCGAATGGAATTTAACTGATATTGGTTATAAGACAACTTTCATATATACATTTAGAAAGCAAAGGTGTACTTTTGTTCAAGAATTTGAAGAAGATGAATGCACTCTTACAATTTATACAGGAGAAAATATAAAACTATGTTCTTTTACCGATTGCGATCCTGAATCTTTGTGAAAAAAAGTTGGCATATTACAACAATATAATGATAAACTTTTTTTTAGTTTAGAGGAACCTCAAACACAATATTTTATTCAAATTTTACGTATACCCAGTTGTACATTGAATGATTGGAATGATGGTGATTTGATGGAATCAATTTTCGCATATCATCTTAAACGCAGGATTTCAACGTGTATAAACTGACAAGAATTTTTTAACCAATGGCTTATTGAATTATTAACAATAATTGAATTGAAAATCCAATTGAAAAAACTGTATCCATCTAATCATAAAATTAATGCGTGTGAATTTAGAGCTTGAAAAGCTATGCTACGGAATGTTGGATGTGAAGAAATTACACCTTTCGAAAAAGATCAATTTCAGGTAAATAATATTGTTATAAAAAAAATTTTAGAAAATTTATTACTTTATAATTGTAATTTTTAATAGATAGAATTTTGGTCAAGATCACTTACTCCTGAAATCGATAAAACTAATTTAGAGATATTATATAGACAAGGATTTTTAATTCCAATACCTTTTTATTTGAAAAATGATATCAAGACATTTTGAAATTCATTTCGAGAATCTTTAGATGTGAATAAATGTGGTTTGGAAGGACGAACACGAATTTTATCAATAATAGGAGGAAGTTTTACTTATGATAAAATTAAAAAGAATCTAGAAGTGAGTAAAAAATATTAGCATTTTTAATAGTTTTATTTAATCAATAGTATAATAATTTAGATAATTGTAATATTTTTATACAAAATAAATTTTTTATGTATTTATCATTTATTTAAATAAATTTTATAAATTCAAATTTACTTGTACCAATATTTAATTTATGATGAAAAATTATTTATTAAAGTTGTGTTGCATATTACAGGTGTCTAATGATACAATTCTTTATGCTCATAAGCATGCACATTTATATGGAGTTGATGGAAAGGCATTTAAAAAACCTATTATAACGTATGAAAATTTTTCTGAAGAAATATAACAACAACTACAAGCTTTTTTATTAGATAAAGCATATGTTGTTATGAGTTCCTATAAAACTGATCCAGTAACTAATGAGTCAGTTCATTATCTCAAACATACCAAAGAAATATTGTGGAAAAAATACCATGAACAATATTCTGATGGAATGTAACGAACCAGTTTTTTTACTCGATTACAGGGAAAAAAATATATTTATCATGAAGATCTCAGGGGTTTATGTCAAACTTGTCAAAAATATGGATACGAAATATTTTCTGATCTTTCTAAATATATAGAAAAACATGTAAATCAGTCTCTTATACAAGTATGAAATATTTAAAAATGAAATACTATCAACTTATCTTTTAATCAAATGAAATACAACACTTATAAAATTTTAATAATTCATAGAAACAATTACTAATAACAGTAGACAATTTGAAACGATTTTTAAAACGTGATTATAAAAATCATTTTCACGTTACAAAAAGTGATATGACTTTTCATAATCTATATATTAATCACTGCTTACTTTATGCATTTGGGAATTGTACCGAAAACTATAATCAAACTTGTAATGAATGTCAAGAATTATTTAGTTTATTTGAAAATATTAGAAGTTATGTAGATTCAACAAATTATGAAGAACTTGAAGACTTAAAAAATCATTTACTTTATTACCTTGCGCACCAAACAAGAAAAGTCTATTTAAACGTATAGTTCAATGCAAACCTATTAGAATTAGATGAAAAAACTACTTTAATTTTAGTAGATTATAAAATGAAAATATTACCAAAAATAGCTCGAGAAACAAAAAATGATTAGTTTGAAAAAAAGAGATAGTCATTACATACAGTTATGGTATACAGGAAATAAAATAGCTCTTCAGTTCTTCAAGTACAAGCTTATGATCATTGGTCTACAGATACCCACCAAGATTCATGGTTTACGGCCTCATCACTTCATGCTGTTATTGAAAATCTTAATCCCAAACCAGAATCAATCATTATGATGTCAGATAATGGTGGTTATTATCACAATGCTGACTTGATAATGATAATGTCATTTTGGCCTGAATGGTACAATATTGAAGTTAAAAAATGGATATTTCTTAAAGTAGGTGAAGCAAAAACTAGCATTGATTCTCATCATGCTCAAGTATATAAAATAATTGATGCATATTTTGTATATTTTTAAT